ATCCTTTTATCTTTTACTTAAAACTTAGTTAAGCAGCGTACCAGGAAGTTACAACATCTGAAACTTACTGTTTATGACCTCTGAGGTGAAATTCATATGTCGAAAATATAACTTGTGTTCATTTATTCATATAATATTTTTAATAAATGTTTGTGTGTTTAATCCTGTTCATATATCTAAAAATAAATTACTTTATTTTGAAAATACGTTCAGGTCACAAGTTTTCATTTCTCATTCATGAGCAGAGTGGTCTTCATCATTGTCTGGGATTTCATAATGCAAGATCTTGATTGAGAGATTATTTTGAGAAATTGGGCTGGTCCTAATTTCATAGGGTGATCTCTTACAATGGTGACAGTGACGCTGCGTAGCCAGGAATACCTGAACCACAGAGCCATGTCAGAGGTCTGGTCGTTTACTTACGGTATCAAAAAAAAAAGACCCAAGTGTGTTTGTGCGTATATGTATAATGTAATTTGTGTGTTTGTGTAATATTGATAAATATCGGTTATCGGCCATAACAGCAATAATTATATTGGATATCGATATCGGCAGAAATTTTCATATCGGTGCATCCCTAATTTTTTTAAAATTTATTTAACCATGTAGATCTGAGTGAGAAAAATCTCTTCCAAGAAAGACTTTGGCCAAGAATGGCAGCAGCACATCAACATTTCAAAACATAAAATCTATTTCCAATAGCTATTTAAGGTCTGACATTGGCATGGTGCCTTTGGCCTTTGGATGAAAATTTAAAAAAAGTTTCTTCAATCTTGCTTAGAATATCAAAAGGAAATGTGTTTATCTCTGACTTCAGAGCTTCTGCGAATCAAACGATCCATGGTAACAGTGGGTTTGATGTCAGAAGTTCACACTCTTGACTGACACTGAACACAAAGCCACTTTGTGACATTTAACAGCTCCCTCCTCACCTGCTTCTGGAGCTGCATGTTCTTCTCGTTAGAGTGCTGGTTTCTCTTTTTCAGATCCTCCAGCTGGTCCCTCAGGTTGTTCACTGATGAGGAAACACACAGTCAGAAGGAGAGCTGATGCTAAATTTGACACAGCATATTCAATAAACGAAGGCGCTACCCGTAGCCAAAGATCAAAGACAACCTGAGATGGAACCAAGCATCAGTAACATATGTGTTCGGAGGTTCTGCACCCTGTGGGAGTCCCACTCAGGATGTGTAAGGAGCCTCCTCAGAGCTCTCTGTCTCAGGATGCTGATTGCATTCAACAGTGGAAAACATTCCTCAAACAGTCAGACCACTCCCTTTTATTTGCTGCGCTGAAGGAAATTAATTGAATTTAAGATCCAGTCTTGTATTTTACACTTTGTCCAGTCATATAACCAGAGAGAGAGTAAGTCTCTGTCAATAGGCTGTTTCAGAGAACAGGAGCCCCCGGTCCTGCAGCCATGAAGAGGTGCTACACTTGCATTAGAAAAAAAAAAAAGCAAACATGAGGGTAAGGAGGGATGGAAAAAAACATCTCATACTATGTCCTTAACAAGGACACAATATGAGTTTGCAAAAAAAAAAAAAAAAAAAAAACTCTGCATATAGCAACACATAAGCCAGCAAAGGCAGAGAGTGGAGGGGTGTACATCACAGAGAACACAATCATTTTCATCTTTTAAAGGTTTAAGGTTCAAAATTATCCGAGTCTTACGATCGTATCCATGTGTTGGTATTTTATCCGGCATTTGTTCCTATAAAGTTTGTTTATTTCCTCCTCTGCACATAGTATATGAAATGGAACTCGCGGGGCTTGAAAACTGATAGAACAAAGTTGAGGTGGTGTTTATTTTCATCATTCAATATACTTGGCAGTGAGAGCTTGGGTCAACTTCCTTAT